CTCAACCTGTACACGGACATCATCAACATCTTCCTGTACATCCTGGCGCTCTCGGGCAACCCCAGAGAATAGGCAGCCCGCCGCCGCGTTGGCACAGAGCGCCTTCCGCCCCAGCCGCATCTCGTCTTGCCGCGGTTCTCCCGCTTTTGCCTCTGAGTGGCTTTCTTTCCCCCTTGATCCGGGCATCGGGTTCCCCTCTTTCCTTGGCCCTCTCACATGCTCCCCGAACGGGGCTCTGCTGGGAAGGCATCGCAGAGAATGCGCCATCCCTTGGACGACAAGGATTTCTGCCGGGCGCCTCCCTGCGGACCTTCTTCTTGCAGGAGAGAAGTTTGGGTTGAGGATATAAATATGCCCAGCTTGATATGAATCTGGCTTTTCCTCCTGTCCTCAGAAGTTCACTGTACTTTATTTGAATCAACAGCACTATATGCTGACCATATTCTTGTCATGATAATTTATAATATGAAAAAAAAACAATCACAATGGAAACTGAGTGAGATTTTATTGAAAAACTCTGAAATGGTTAAAAACGTTTGGGTGAACTGAAGAATTTTTAATATACAGGGACATGACCCTAGTATCAGTAGCAACCATCCAGGGTACAAGCAGCTTGTTTAGTCGAACAATTCAGCATCTTTGGCTTTCTGATGCAAAAAATTAAGAGAACAAGAGACAAAGGGCTACCGAGCAAATGCAAGCTTTAGAAAATGTTTCTTCGGAACTGTGTGATTCTGCAAGAATGTAAGAGTCGGCGAGACTTTATAGATACAAGTAAAATGGCCAGAAAATGCATTTTGTAAGATTAAAAAAAAGTGTGGGAGGGAGCTGAAAAGCTATTAGCATATTCACTGAAGAAAAGAAAGGCAATTCCCCCAATTACCCATAGAAGAGAGATACATACCTAAAATACCAGAATATATGTCCATGTGTGTATGGTTTTCCTGGAGTGGTATATGGGATTTTATAATTCAAACAACTGAAATAAAGATAAATTCTTTCTAAACTAGGGATCCCTTAATAAATTTCCAGGATCCTGAACAGTTGCAACAATTGTGATTCAAAAGGAAGAGAAAGATCGTGCAATAGCACTTCCTCATGTCTCGTATCTCACATTTGACTTCAGGAGAGAGACTTTCGCTAAAATAAGGGAACTGGTCAAAAGCAGGTCAGAAGGGAGAGTCTGCAGGAGGTGGGCTGAGGCCTGCTCTCCCCTGCCGGGGGGGGGGGCACTTCCAACGGGGCAGAGCTCAAGGAACCAGGCTTCAGGAGGGATGCCAGGAAGCCTTTCCTGACAGGCAGGACCCTGAGGGTATGCAGTGGGCTTCCATGGGGGTGGTTGAGGCCCCCTCAGTGCGGGTGTTCAAGGACAGGCTGGACGTCCACATGGTGGGCATGTCGTGAGCAGAGCCAGCTGGAGCCAGGGGTCAGACTAGGTGGCTGGGAGGCCCCTTCTGGCTCTCTCTGTTTCTCTGTTTCTATGTGTCTGTCTTGTCAAAACTCTTGGGAATCACTCAAGAGTCAGAGCAGAAGCTCACAGCATCGCTTGCTAACCAGCTGGTTACAAGCCGGAACAGGGATGTGATTAGAAAAAGGCTTCCTTTCAGAAATGGAAGCATTGCCCAAACAAGGAAAACAAGAAGGATCAGAAGCTTGCACGAGGGAGATGCTTGCAAAATGGTAACTTGAGGAATATATATAATATCAAGACAAATTGGTCTTCAAATATTTAAGACATGGGAAAGCAGCCAGGGAGGCAGGTGGATCATTGGATGACAACAAGTTAAAGGCTGAACTGTTTTCTTCAAATCCTAACAAGAACAGCCCAGCAAATGCGGAAAACAAAACCATGGCTGCAACTTGGACATGTCCGGTACGCATCACGTCCTGCGAGAAAGGAGCTGCCAAATGGCGCGGCCAGAGGGGACCAGCGCACTCACTTCCCTCGCAAGCGGAGTGACGCTCCAAGCGCTCCGCTCTGCAGGGGGCCCTGTGTTCAAGCGGCACGCCAGGCAGGAGCGGCCCTTGGCCTGCTGGCGTCGTGCCGTGCTGTGCGGGAGGGTGGAGCCCGTGGCCCAGCGTGCTCAGCATGTTCCCCAGACATGCCCTGGCCTCCTCGCCAGAACACGGCTGGCTGTGAGGGACGCGGTGCCCGTCCCGGGCCCCAGCCGCGCAGGAGGCGGCTGTGGGCAGGCAAG